CATCTCTCTGGTTCTGTTTTTTCTGTCTCTTCTGGTTTTTGAATTACTTGAGCATCCTGGATCCTGTTTGTGGCTTGACTGACCATGCTCTGATCTGAGATCTTGACCTTGGCTATTACTTGAGCATCCTGGATCCTGTTTGTGGCTTGACTGACCATGCTCTGATCTGAGATCAGACCTTGGCTATTACTTGAGTCCGACCTCGCTGCTGCATGCGTAGCTCGCCTTTGGCAGCCCCAGTCCTGTCTACTCCTGTCTAAGTCCTCAGAGGCATGCTTGTCAAAGAGGATGGACCCGACAGGCAGAAGACTGGCCTCTGTGTGGCATACAGTTTGGCCTGTGTCCTTTCGCCTGTGCTTGATTTTCTGCTTTAAAGTATATTAATATGTTTTTAAAATCTATCCCATTGCTGTGGCAAATTTAAGGAACGTTACTAAAGTAATGGAGAACGTACACTCACCTAAAGGATTATTAGGAACACCATACTAATACGGTGTTTGACCCCCTTTCGCCTTCAGAACTGCCTTAATTCTACATGGCATTGATTCAACAAGGTGCTGAAAGCATTCTTTAGAAATGTTGGCCCATATTGATAGGATAGCATCTTGCAGTTGATGGAGATTTGTGGGATGCACATCCAGGGCACGAAGCTCCCGTTCCACGACATCCCAAAGATGCTCTATTGGGTTGAGATCTGGTGACTGTGGGGGCCATTGTAGTACAGTGAACTCATTGCCATGTTCAAGAAACCAAATTGAAATGATTCGATTTGTGACATGGTGCATTATCCTGCTGGAAGTAGCCATCAGAGGATGGGTACATGGTGGTCATAAAGGGATGGACATGGTCAGATACAATGCTCAGGTAGGCCGTGTCATTTAAACGATGCCCAATTGGCACTAAGGGGCCTAAAGTGTGCCAAGAAAACATCCCCCACACCATTACACCACCACCACCAGCCTGCATAGTGGTAACAAGGCATGATGGATCCATGTTCTCATTCTGTTTACGCCAAATTCTGACTCTACCATTTGAATGTCTCAACAGAAATCGAGACTCATCAGACCAGGCAACATTTTTCCAGTCTTCAACTGTCCAATTTTGGTGAGCTCGTGCAAATTGTAGCTTCTTATTCCTATTTGTAGTGGAGATGAGTGGTACCCGGTGGGGTCTTCTGCTGTTGTAGCCCATCCGCCTCAAGGTTGTGCGTGTTGTGGCTTCACAAATGCTTTGCTGCATACCTCGGTTGTAACGAGTGGTTATTTCAGTCAAAGTTGCTCTTCTATCAGCTTGAATCAGTCGGCCCATTCTCCTCTGACCTCTAGCATCAACAAGGCATTTTCGCCCACAGGACTGCCGCATACTGGATGTTTTTCCCTTTGCACACCATTCTTTGTAAACCCTAGAAATGGTTGTGTGTGAAAATCCCAGTAACTGAGCAGATTGTGAAATACTCAGACCGGCCCGTCTGGCACCAACAACCATGCCACGCTCAAAATTGCTTAAATCACCTTTCTTTCCCATTCTGACATTCAGTTTGGAGTTCAGGAGATTGTCTTGACCAGGACCACACCCCTAAATGCATTGAAGCAACTGCCATGTGATTGGTTGATTAGATAATTGTATTAATGAGAAATTGAACAGGTGTTCCTAATAATCCTTTAGGTGAGTGTATATCCATATACATAATTTTATATGAACCTGTTTAGTTGAATCTTTACACAAGTAGTTCTCATGATCCCCTAATATTCCTGACATCAGTGTGTAGAACATACTCCCAACGGACCAGGGAATATAATAAAAAAAAATGTGTGTCCTTAGTATGCGTAGTCAAATTTGCAGAATTATAGTATTTTGACTGGTAAATGTTTGTAGTTCTTTTACAGGTGCCTGTTTTTAACATCTTTAGTGATATTTACTGTAGGTCTTCTCCCTGTCAGACCTGCACTGGGCTGTCAGCATGTCATGCCAGTGACTTTGTAAAAGTATTTGTCCCTAACAGCAGTAGTAGAATATTTATGCTGGTTTCTCTTTGTGTCTACAGTGTATCTTTAATCTGGGCTGGATATACAGAGCACATCTATTTGGGGAATGTACTTTAATTTGTTGATGAGTTTCTGGAAATATCTTTGAAATGTTGAGTGATAGCTGTCAGCCAATCAGCTTGTAAATTGATTGTGAGCTGTGACTTTGAGGCCTTCCCTGTAAAGTGAAGGAGGCTGGCAGCCATTTGACATACTGGTAATAGAAATCATTTATACATTGAAGTTCTTGTTTGTCTTTGGCAGGTTTCCACAGGGCAGTGTTACCATGCAAACAATCATTATATTCACCTTCTTAATGCCATTTGGACAATTGATTGATGTACGAGGGAGGAAATCGGTGATCAGGTGGATATTAAAGGGTCGATAGGTCTTCAGATAATTTTCAAACTTGCATGTCGATAAAGGGGGGACAGTACATCAGCCCCAACAGATGTTTTTATTGACAGCTGGATCACACAGATAAGGCTGACATTTACTGTGCAGTTAGACGCTAACTGGTCAGACCTTTGAAAATGTTACAGTTTATTTTTCACTGATTGTTTTTTTTTTGTTCTGAAAGCGCGGTAGTCATTCGTGTCAGGTACTACAGTTAGAACTGAAGTGCCACTTTGGCTTTCATTATAGCAGAAATTTATACTGCACTCTAACTCTGATAAGGCCTGCCTGTTTTTCCCACAGAGCTGTGTGTGTGTGTTTTTTTTTTTTGTTGTTTATTCTGTGTTAATGGCTGTTTTCTCTTTCAGTGCGATGCCGTGTTTTCACATGTCTCTCTGCATTAGCTCCATCTAAGGAGAATTATCCCAGATCCGCCCCGGATCATTCAGTGACCTCTGAGGACCACTTATGGTCTTTGTACTGTCTGACAGAGAAATCCAGCTTGATACCTCAACATTATTTACGAATAGCATAAATGTTACAGTTGAGCTGTTCTGTTGCCATGGTGAGGTTAAGTTGATCATAGGCTGAAGTAAGTGTTACAGGACACGCATTTGAAGAAGAGTGCAAAATATGCCTTTCCATCATCAGTACAGGGGATATTGAGGGTAATGAAATACTTGTAGTGGATTTTTACATCCTCCCATAGATGTGTAATGATCCAGAAACAGCTTTGGAGGAAAGTGTGTGCATTCGCAGCACGTATAGTACAAGCAGCACGTTGCACTGGATCATGCAAATGGCCTGCATGCAAATTCATGGAATCAAAAGATGAATGTTGCTGAGATCATCTAACAGATTTTCGTGCAAAAAAAAAATAACCTTAAAACAAAAATGCTTATGGCAAGTGTGTGTGCATCTGCCATGTAAGACTATTCATGTGCACATGCATGATTATGTGTGAATGTGTACATGTTTGTATGCCTAGCGGGTGTGTTTAAGAGTGTGTCAGTGTCTGGTTGCTTTCTTGAGCATGACAGGTCTTTTAATCCACTGTTTTTTTTGTTAACATTTCTGCCCAGTCCTCCTTGGCGCCCAGGTGTCAGCTCACTTGAACTAATAACATTCACCCCTAATCCTCCCCACTGTTAGGTTCACTTCACTGCTCATTGTCTCAGTTGTACTAAAATGGCGTTTTTCATCTTAAGTCTTCCTTAGCGTATTGTGATTCTGCACCATATCCTCGAGTGATGGTGCCTGAAAGGTCACTCGCTTGCCTGTGTTTGATGTTTATGAGCCAGGAAACAACAGCAGGCCCTGACCCAGTGACAGGGTCAGTTAACGTTGGCGTACAGCAGCAGGAGCTCAACATCAGCCAGGGAGCCAATCCTAGACGCTCCATATCAGAGCTCAGAGGGCGTTGAGACATGGTTCCTCTGGGTCATATGCATCCTTTGGCAGCTGTTCACCCACGAGCTGAGGAAGAGCACTGGGTGGTTCAAGAAAGTTCATTACGGGGACATTAGGGTAGGAAGAAGATCATAAATGGTTGCATCGGTAGCTGGGTGAGTCGGAGTGGGAGGAAACAAAAACTTTTATAGCAGTTAGAATAGGGTAAAAAAAAATCCTCTGGGGTATAAGGCCAATGCACCCCCCCCAAAACCCCCTTAGGGAACATGAATCTGAGGTTACTGTCCAACATATGCTGCTTTTTTTATTTGAGTAGCAAAAGGATATCTGTTAAAATTGCTCATATTTTATTTTAATCTATGAAACTATAAAAGGATAAATAGAAATAAGATATCAAAGATGAAAATAATCATTTGGAGAGAAAAAATAACCTTACATTACAGTAGATGTGGGGTTACATCTGATATAAAAATGATTCTCCTCTATATCAGTTTCATTTTTAGTGATTTGAGTGAAGTTTGAGCATCTGTCACAGGGATCCAAATGTGCTCTTTACAAAATGCCGCTTTAAAGGCAGAATTGAATGCCAGGGGGAAAAGATGATGTTTTTGAACCAAATTATTAGTTCACACAAAGTACAGTACATTTCTGCTTTGGGGTTATTTAGTAAATGATTGCACATGTTGCAATCACCATGCTGTGAATTGGAATGCTGGGGAATCACTGTACGATGGTCATCACATTCCGGGAGCCAAAGAAAGTGCTAGAAAGCTGGAACTGAAAGCGAGTGCTGTGTGAAAAGCGGCAGTCACACCATTGTGTCGTTGTGTTCTGTTGATTTTCAGGTTAGTATTTAGTATTATTAGGGTTTGCAGGCTTACTAACACAGTGATAAGAGTCTATGTCTGCCATAATCTCAGCTTGCAAAAGCAACATATTTTAATACGGCATAAAAATGGTATTTCAGCTATATTAGTACTGAGTCTATCATTCAGCTTCTGTCCTAAATCATTGACTGGCTGGGGAATGGAGTCACCAGATGTCCTGTCGTACCTAGATGGCAGCTTTCAGCAGCACGACAGCAGAGACTCAGACGACCGACTCTTATGAGCGACTGCGTGAACGGCAGGAGTTCTCGTGTAATAATGCGACGCTGCCTCTCTCTTGCAGCGCCTCGTTGAGGCTGCAGAGGAAGCCCACCTGCAGCACGAGGAAGACCCAGAGCTGCAGGTAGGCTAACGGGAACGGGGCGCGGTGCCTGCAGTGGATGTGTCATGCTGCGCTGGTGTCACCTTCAAACCCTCCCCTGACCCCTGCAAAAGGGCTTTTCTGTTATACATTGTGAAATATAATAGTAAAATGCTTTTAGTTTCCGGTCAACTGGATGTTTTTGCATGCAGTAATGCTAAATCTGTTTTATTCACTACGATTTATTTATTTGTTTGTTATTATTTTTAGATGTATTTGCCTTCATATCACCTGTTGTAATTTTTCCATAAACTGGCACAAGCACACACTGGTTATATAAGTAGAATTATGTGGTCAAAGTTTTGGTACAGCGTGACATTGGAACAATAATAGATGTCAGTGTGTCAAACATTTATTATTCATGTTATTATTCTATGTTATTACAATACAAACTGACTTAAACCGCCTTAGGTATCATTACCATAACTCCATCACATAAGCATGGATGTTTTGAAAAGAAGCCTTAAAGTTTCCATTAATATTTCATCTGAGCCCTGTTGAGAAGCGATAAGTGTTTATTGATGGGTTTGGAAAATTAATTATATTAATTAACAACATGCCTTTATTATTCCGTCCTGCCGTTTATAAGCAATCAATGGATGCATGTTTTCGGTTGATGAATAACCCGAGGCGCAGGCTGCAGCTGTGATGCATGAGCGTGAGTTATGAGGTTTTCAGTCGTATGGCCTGACATTAGCAATACAGAGAAATCGACTCTCTGCTAGTAATGGCGAAATAAACTTAAAAAAAAACAACATTGTCATTAACATTTCCATTCATGGACTGTTTGACATCATCGCTAATAGTCTTTTCCCTCTGCAAATAAACCCTGGGGCACAGCATAGAAAAGCTCTTTAATCCGACCCAGTCTCTTTGATATGAAACCTCCTCCAGATACCCATCCCCTCTCGCCAGAACACAGACACATGTGCAAAAATCTGCACCCCTTAAGCCCATTTCAGCAGGTCTGGCTTTTGCTGGGGGCCTCCGAAGTGACAACCTCTATGAGGGATGGGCTGAGGGGGGGCCAGTTTCCCTCAGGCTTGAGAAGCCACATGCAACATTTTTTATTCATTTAGCAGACATTTTTCTCCAAAGCAACATACTTCTTTTGTACAAGTAGGGTTAGACAGTCCCTGTAGCACCTGGAGGTTAAGGGCTTTGCTCAAGGACCCAACAGTGAAATCACTGCTGACTCTGGGATTTGAACCGACGACCGTCCGATGACCTGCTAAGACACTCATCACCCCCATGCTGAAGCTTGTGGCTCAGATGGCTGCAATGCGCGCCGAATGCATCCTGCACTTCGTGGACATCCAGTCTAATCCCAGAGAGTTATGTGTGCGGGAGGTTGGCTGGAAGCGGCTGCAAGACACCATCAGCCGAGGTGCTTCGGGCCGATTCTCTCTCATCTCTCAGATAGGATCGGATCTGGGGAGGTGAGCGGGGAGCGGCGGGGGTGCAGCACTGTCTGCTGATAAGGAGGCCTGCCTTCACCGGAAATTGCACTCCTGGCATTTCGTGGATGGAAGATGATCAAAACCTTGTTTGTGTCCCGGAGCGCAGATAGGAGAAGCTGCAGGTTGGCCGGGGCCTCCAGGCTCTCCAAGATTATTTAGGGATGGCTGGTACAAAACCTGGGGGGGGGGGGGGGGCGCAGGTCTGTGGCTATAACATTTATTTTTAAAACGCTAGATGTTTGTCGGTATTTAGACAAAAGACTTAGGGATGAACTTGTTCTGGGGCCCCAGAATTTACAGTCTACATACAAGTGCTGTGGTCTGTCAATAGTGACATGGAGGTCTGTAGCAATCTCATAGTCTAAATGGTAGGATTGGTTCAACAAGGTGACTTTGGTGTAACTGGTGCACAAACAATGAAGTTAAAGCTGGGAACACAGGCATGCTTTGGGGGCATCTTCAAAACCCATTTATGTGTCTTCAGGATTAACGGCACAGTAAAATTGTGGTAAAGGCCTTGTCGTTTATTACTGTCACGCTCCATTAAGAAGGATCAATTCTTAATCTCGGGCGCAAGGGTACCCTCATAGCCCTTTCCTTGGGATTGTTGCTCTTTATCAAAACTCCCATCTCACCATCTAGTCATGAAGCTGATTGTGTTGCACAGAGATGGCGCTGATGCGGTTACATGTATGTATAGGGGTCTGGTCCCAACAGGTACATTGCAGAGGTAGTTATATGGAACAGAACAAATCCAGCAAATGGAAATACTGGCTTGTTTTTTCCCTCCAAAACTTCACAGTTTGGATTTTCCCATCATGTTAAAGTTGTCACTTTGGAATTGAATGTCTGTGTTTTGGTTATTGGGGCTCTATTGTGTCTGAGGATTGCAGAACAAATATATTGAACTTCAGAAACAATATTAACTAATTAGTATATTATTACATTATATTAAAAGGACAAGCATTTTTTCCGTTATTTAAATGTGATATAGGCAATAGTGTACATCTCATTTTCCATCAAGACCTTGTGATTCAGGTGTCTAATATAGCACATTAATCCTGAGAAGGATTTTGTGCTTACAGAGAAATTCTATTACTATGGGTTTACAGCCAATTTGAGATACACATTTTTAGTGAAAGTATATTTTATTCTACATTAAAGAATGTTGAATTCTTGAACTAACCAGATCACAACTGGTACACAGGTTGCCAATGCAACCTTAGTTATTTATTGCGCAAATCAAACAACATAAATAGATGGTAATTAGTGCAAGCTGAACTAAAAATCATGCTTTAGGGTTAGGTATTCTTTATTGCTGTTTACTTTGTTTGTGTGTCTTTTGGCTATTTGATTCATATTTAGCTTACAGGGGGTTTATTTATTTATTTGAATTAGCTTATCTTTTCACTCCAGAGCTGTTTTCCCCATAAGGAAGAGACTTGGTAATCTATTCAGTTATTTTGCCTCTGTGCCCATGCAAATAGTAATGGACCGGCAGCTTTGCACCGTTCCCTGTTTAGCCATGAAATGCAATTTACCTGCAACACAATGGAAACGTGAATCAAAAGGGACCAGTCCAGTTATGGACCATCTTGCTCCATCTCCATATATATATTTGAAGTAAAAGTCTCATAGGCAATTATACATCCTATTTCAGCTTGGCAGTTGAATTAATTCCATGGCTATGGCATGTGCAATTACAAGCCAATTTGGGGGAGGCAAATGTGATTTTCATGGGTGCCCAAAATGTCGGAAGAGTGGTATGAAGGTTTGGAGAAGCTGCGAGGTTTGAGGGCTCTGGTGTGGCCTCTCTCATTACTCTGGAACCCTGGCAAAAGATTGGTACAGTCTGTTAGCATGGGAAGAATGCTGTAGATTTCATTTCTGTTATCTCTGTGTGGTTTAATCCGTATCAGTTAGTGAGTTACTTTAATGTTTGATTAACTTGAAAATTAGGTTTAAAAAATCCTGAATTTAAGAAGGTGATGGTGTGCAAGTACCAGGTTTCATTTATTGACACACAAATGGGTTTAACTTGGGGTGACAGCATTGGGGAAATGAAAAGCCCACTGTATCTTTGTCTGACTGCTGAACTTCTGAGAAATGGGTACACCTTGCTGTACTGGACCTTATTCTGTGGAGAAAAACATTTCAGGGGAGTTTTATTTATTGCCGTTCTTTCTTAGGGGTGTGAGTTTCCCATGCTAAACTAGGGCTGCGATAGTCTCAATAATGTGGTCAGAGTTAGAGCTGTTTGTTATATTGGCCACTATCTTCTCCCTTTCTTGGTCCCGCTCTCTGGAAGACAGTGATAAATCACTGCAGTCACTCAGCCTGTTCTTCCATGTTTCTGCACATTTACATCAGAAGTTGCTGGAGAGGAAAATTACTGCTTCTCCAGCTCCCATCATCTAAGTAATGTGTGTGTGAGTTAAGTTCAAATGAAATATCTCTGCAGGCTGGGAATGAATCTATACATGAGCTATACTATTCAAAAACCATTGTTACAAATAATAAAAAAGTGATGCCAACAGTTGGAAATAATGAAATATTTTATTTAATAAGGTCATTAAAGAGGCACTTAATGTAATCTCCATTCTAGAATTATCCCTATGAATAGTTCTCATATTTTATGGGTCACATAAAAATATGCATAGAAAATGATTATTGTAAGCTGATTGATGCTAGTTTGGGTCGATGATTTACTGCAGTCAGGGGTGAATACTGTCTAGTGTGATGGTGAGAATGGGTTTGTAAGATAGTGGTCTCATGCCCCTATGCCTTTGCATGAGGGATTTTATCTCGTTAAGTTTAGTACATGGATTCAGAAAATATAAGAGATGATAATATATAGGGTAATGAAAAAAATAAATTCACCGTAGCTTCTGAAATTTCTCTGCTAAGAAGTGAAATGTATCCCGCTAATGATAGTTTGACGGTGGGCAGTCGTATCGGTGTGTAATCTGATACAGCCGCTGTTGTACCGGAATCGCTTCAGTAACATGCCCAACTCTATAAATGATACATCGATTAATAATCATGAAAGTTAAGTAGCAGTGGACTGAAAATGATGGCGTCCTTGTTTGCTCAGCATGGATTTCTTTCAGATTTCATTTAATTATACTGTAATTGCAAGTTCTCAGATGTCCGGTGCGCACAAAAGATGAAATCATGCTAAAGATGGCGTAAGTGATATTGAAATTTAAGCATATTCTACCCCAGCTGATGCTCAGCATTATTTAATCTAGATGAGCCCTAACTACATGCAGATATGTACTCTGTTGCATATATGTTGGCTTTTCCATCAGTAATAGCTAACGGTAGTTACTGTAGCTCTTAGTTTGCACTCTGTTCTGTTCCACTACAGTTTTGCTAAAATAATTCAGATGCTTATTTTCAGTGGCCATAATCCATTTTTACGGTAAACTCACAGCTATTTATAGATGTTCTTCTACTTATGAACTTTCAACTTACGAACTTTCAGACATACGAACGAAGAAGACTGTAAGTCCAAATTGT